CAGGTGAACCAACAAATCAATATAGTTAAGCAACACTGCTATGACCAGAAGTCGCATACAGGAGAACAGAAAGAACGATAAGAAATCACTATCACTGGAAGTAGTAACACAACCAGCACCTCCTAAATTTTCCAGGCAACTCTTCAACTTGGACCACCAGCAGCTGAATCTCTGAAATATGAATACAATCGACTAGAATGCACACTCGAAATTGTAGATTCAGTCGAAGACGCAGTAAAGCACATCATTCGCTACGGTAGCGGGCACACCGACTCAATAGCCACCTCTGACGGTAAATCTTTTGCACTTCTCTTCTAATCCCAATGTATATATAGCTCAAACAATTTATCACGAACTACCCTTTAAGAATCGACAGCTGACTACTTCTTGAAACATGTGGATAGCGCCTGCGTCTTCCATAACGCAAGCACAAGGTTTTCAGACGGCTATCGTTTTGGACTTGGTAAGTGGATGGTTTACTAAGAAACCTCTCAATCGTAATTTTTAACCACATCTACAATGGGGAATTTTGCAGCAAAAACATTGTAATGCTAACGACACATTTAATCATTTAGGGGCCGAAGTTGGTATAAGTACAGGCCGAATACACGCAAGAGGGCCAGTAGGTGTCGAAGGGTTGTTAACAACGAAATGGATTTTACGAGGTAATGGACATGCAGTTGGCGATTTTACCAACGGCAAATATCACTACATTCACGAAATTCTCGATACAAAAGATAAAGTAAAAGTCCTACAACAAAAAGTCAAAGACCGGGCAGCCGCCCAAGCAAATTGACCTAATACGGTCAGAAGATTCTATTGTTTCAAACGCTATCAAACAAAAATGACAGTCATTTACAGCTGAAAAACTCTTCTCAGAATTAGAAATTTCGCGTAGCTGCTAAGAATTTTATGGAGAAAGGTTGAAACTATTGGAATTTTTATTAACCTGCTTCGAATACGCAGGTGTCAGAAAAGTTTCATTCAAAAAGTTGTAAAAAACAACACTAATAGCAGTTTTTCAAAATTATAATTAACTTTTCAAAGTTATTTTAGAAATGATATTTGTATATCCGTGTAATAAACATTTTCAAAAAATCAAACATCTGAACACTTACAAACACTTGAAAAGAATACGATCTTAGAGGAAAAATGAATGTATAATTCACTCCACTAAACTGGCATCCTTTGCCATTGAGTAAAACAAGGAAGACTCTTTTTTCAGAAGCACTTTAGGACTGTCGAACTCCACGACAACACCATCGTCCATTACCATTAGTCTAAAGAAGATACCAGTTAAAAGGCTTTGAAGTTAAAAGAAAAGTAAAAAACAGGTTTTCCTATGGCAAAGGCATGACTGCTCAGAAACTAGAGCACCTATCAAGATCTATAACGGTTTGGAGGCGATGAGCTATCGACAACACAGTACAGTCAGCAAACTGCTCTCGAATCGTTTTCTGAATAAGAGAATCAGTTTCCATGTCTACTGAAGCCGCTGCTTCGTCCAAGACAAGAATTTTTGTTTTCCTCAATAGCGCGCGAGCTAAACAGATCAACTGCCTCTGCCCAACACTGAAAATGAGGATGATAGTCTGAAATAGCTTAGTTAAACAAATCATACCAATAAATTAAATAAGCATACCTCAAGTTTTGACCACTTTCAGATATCATATGCTCCAAACGATCCGGAAGAGACACCACAAAAGGCTCTAAATGGGCCATCCTCAAAGCGTCCCAAATTTTCTCGTCTTCAAAACGTTCAAAAGGATCAAGATTCATCCTCAATGTTCCAGAAAACAAGACGGGATCCTAAAATAAAAAAAATTTCAATAATAGCACGATTTCAAACAAGATTTACAAACAAATTTTTAATAATGATTTATAAGGCTGACTTGAGGTACGATTGTAAGTTTCGATCTTAAATTCTCCAATGGAATTTTCGCAATATCACTACCATCAATTTCAATCGATCCAGAATCAGCCTCAACAATGCGGAACAGCGCAAGCATTAAAGAACTTTTGCCTTAAAAATAACAACATACACTAAACTTCACCGCGGAGAGCCAGTCAACAGATAACTAATAACATCTAGAAATATAATAATAATACAGTCATTAAGACCGTAAAACTCTACCTGCGCCTGTACGACCCACTACTCCAACTTTCTCGTTGGCATAGATATGTGCTGTTATGCCTTTCAATACACAGTCCAAATTCGGGCGGTATCGCAAATACAAATTTTTCATCAGTATTTCGCCCTTTGATGGCCAATCCGAAGGTGGCTTTTTTGGTACAGTCCCATTTTTCAAACCCTAAATAATAAAATTCAGTCATACTTCAAGGAAACGTCTCATGGTAAAATGCAAAACTTAAGCCTGACCTCAGTAGGAGTCTCAGCATATTCTTTCAAACGCTCAACAGCCACAATGTTAGTTTCAAGCTCGCTTGTCATTCTCACCGCCCAGTTTAATGTTTGTGTTATCTGAAAACCACTAGTACTAATTGGATAACAGCATAATTGCAAATTCCAAAAAAAAACCAGAAAAAGATAAAGGAAGAATAGACGTAGCTAACAAAGCAGCAATAAATCAAAAATTTATGTAAAAGAACAATGAAGAAGCAACGAAATTTTAAATCTACCCTTTATAACACTACTTCCTCCTGAAAATCTATTTAAAACAGTACAGAAATGCGTAACGCTCTCATTCTTACATTAAGAGCATAAGAAACAGAAAGGCCAGCCAACCCAGCAGTCACTCCTCCACTGTCACGATACAAGACGGTGAAAATTGCCGAAAAAGCAACTATGAGATTACCGATTAACTCCAGACGAACAGCAAGCCATCTGAAAAGACAAAAGCAGTAAGAAAAAATCACACCTTTATTAAGACCACATGAGAAATTTCACAATGCACCTAACCGATTTGCGACTATAGAAGGGTAGTAAGTTGCAAGATTGTCATCCACACGCTGCTGTGATTCTCTGATAAAGCGGTCGACACAACGATAGGCTCTAATGCATGAAGCTCCTTGTATTGATTCCTATAACGCCTCTTTAATACATACCATAACAAATTCTAAACCAGAGCGAAATAGGAACTTACTTGAAAGTGTGAATATATTGGCGACCTCGTGGTAGATTCCAATCTCTTCAGTTGCCTTGATGTGGACACGTAGAAACGCTAAAAATGAGAAGATTTCACACTGCTGACTTCACCCGTAACTCGACATCAACTATCCTGCTTTACGTCACACCAAAGCATGCTAGCAGAAATTTGACGGAAGCTGACTTGAAATGTGCAGCAAAACAAAAACTGTTGCCGTTGCGGCTGAGTCAATAAAAACGGCGAACGAAACTAACCAAGCTTGTAGGTGAAAGCGAAGCACATGCAAAGTGTTAGTTTCCAAAAACAAAGAGGACAGAAAAAAACCAAAGCAGGTCGTTTCAATCGTGATTTATAGTTATTTCGATATACTGTAGGTTACGATGGGTGTCGAGAAATCATGTGCACCAATTAAGCGACAAAAACTCGCTTAAAGAGGTACAATTAATTAATTTTGCAAAAATCGGGCATAACTTATACGTATTATCAATTATTTAAAGTGATTAAAGGTGATTACGAAAGCAATAACCATAGAGCACCACGTTCACGGAGAAAAGAGGCAATACAGCTAAAAATACAGGTATCAAAAGCGAAAAAAAACTAGTGTTCAGGCTGAAAAATTACCTAGAGGGTGGCAAAACAGCATTTTTAGTTTCTGCAAGCATTTCAGATCACAATAAATATCTGACTTTTTGTACTCAAAATAAACTCACTTAAAGAATTAAAACTGAACACCAAAATTCTTGATTTGATAACATGGTCAAAGCCAGGCACAACATACAGAATCCGCCAAGGGTCACGAAAAGCTGTCTAACGTAACAAACTAACTATTTCTATTTAGCATTGATACTTAATTCCAGAAGAAAGTTGTGCACTTAAAGAACAAAACGATGAATAGAACGGACGATGACAATGGACAAAAGAGGGTTAAACAGGACGGCTGGTGCGTCACTGATTACATAGCGAAGTGGTGAAACATCACTTAAGAAGGACACTGGTGCAACTAAGAATGAAAATTTAAGATCAAAATTTAACCATCAAATAAAAATAGGCTGTCGAGATGATGACGAATACGAAAAGAACTGGAGGAGTTACAACAACCGGAATAAGTGCCGAAAAGAAGCCATAGACATAGTAGGCCACAGCACTAACTAACGCAGCAGGGAGGCGAGAATCCACTGTATCCAAGTCCTGTAGCAACACACACATGCAAAAGAACGTGCAAAATTAGCACTTTCTTGTTGCTTTCAAAAAAAAATGTATATTTATTAAATTTCAAATATCCGAAGTACTACCCGTGACTCCTCAGATCCGAAATAAAAACTGAGTTTCGCGAATCACTGCAACATATATGAAACATTAGAATTGAAATTCCAGCAAAAGAAGTTGAAAATACTCATAAAACAATAGCAATTCAAGAAAGCGGCAGATAATTGCGAAAGACAGTAGATAGAGGATACCGCGACAGCTGAAGTAAAAAACGTGAAAAGGAGCGGTAAACGTGAAGTGAAACTACCAGATACGCACTACATATTATAACTTACAGAACTGACTAAAATTAGTTTTGAAGTTTGAAGAAAGCCGGATTTCAGCCTCTCAGATAGTGGTGAATAACTTATTGGTGACGACATGCATACTCAGTATTCCCAAAATATGTCTGACAAGTAAACTTAGACTTACAAAACCTTAAATGAAAAATTTCCTTTGTCTAGATGTTTCGCTTCGGATTATGTGATTGATACATCAAATAAGAGTCAAAAGAGCCAAATAGATAATTGATTTAAATAGAACATGCATCATGCACTCCAAAAAAATAATTATATTGTTCAATGGGTGCAAGCAGAACAGTCTGAGCAGATTTAGACAACCAGTATTTACCAAAACAATGTAGTAGACGGTAGAAAGAACTGGTATAACAGCACCAAAAGTGGGAGTCGCATACAGAATTACTACAATCGTCATCAAAACGTTCAAAGCAGTTCCAACAAATGATCTGCTGCAATATGGTAAAGTCGAATCCACCGTATCCATGTCCTGTAGCACAAAGTCCAATTTGTAAATCATTGCATCAGAAAAAAAAATTTAAACAAAAAGAAAGAACTGGTGGAAATGGTACTTTTCAGTCCTTACATTAGCAAAAAAAAAAAAAAAATGCCGAGCAAAATAAAAACGAAAGTAAGAAAATTTCCCAAGCGTAAGCCTTGAATGAAGAAAAGTTAAAACGACAATAAATTAGGGGTCCGTAAGAAGCATAACTACTCCGATGAGCTCTAAAATGTTATTATACTTGTTACTAATACTGTTAAAAATTTCCAATTTAACGCGCCGTAAAATTCTTGGTTCTCGAAGTCTTTTTATCCAAACCCCACTGCTAGAAGAATGTTTATAGAAAATATAAGAATAAAAGTCTAAATTTAAAATACCTATATACATCATCCAAAAAATGGTCCTTTGTAGTTCTATGGCCAATTAGTAAAGATCTCAC